GGTACTGAAGAAAAGGATTTTAAACTTTCTCACAGAAAGTGGTTGGATATCCAGGGATGCTTCCTGAAACTCAGCTGATCTGAAAAAACACAGCAGAGGCCTGTTATAGCCTCAAGGACTCCGTTATTTTTTTCCTTCCCTCCCCAAAGATACAGAAATCGTGTCACCTAAAAACAAAACAAAAAAAGGCAAATATGTAAACCCCCCCAGTATTCATGATCCATGGTTCAAATAGACTTTAGCTTTGGATTGTGGAAAATACTCAATTGTGAAACTTCTACATTGGATTTCACTGTTTTTGGTACATTATTAGAACAGATTTCTTTCATGTGAACTTACTCAAGTCCAGCAGTGTGAGTACTCCTTACTGCTGGACAAATGAATATCGGTGTAATCTTTGCTTGTTTTTTTGAAGGGGGGAGGATAGTTTCTAGCAAGTGAAACTTTCTTCTCCCTTTTTTGGGTTTTTTTTTTTGGTTTTTTTTTGGCATAATGCTGGCAGCAAAGTGAAGCTGACAGAAGTCCTGAGCTCAGGAGCACACTGAGGGGGGATTTTTGTGACCATTGCTAAGGTTTCAGAACATTCTCCTTAGTGACTACAGCCGGGTGAGAGTTTCTGGTGAGAATACAGCAGGGATGAGCCGTGGCAGGGAGTGGAAGGAAAGAAACGTGGTAGGTGAGATGCCTCCAGGTACTTGTGCTGTGGAAAGGGTTCTTGAAGAGCTACCTTTATATCCAGCTGGTCCAGATAGAGCTTTGACGTGAGTTCTTGCTGAAACAGGCCCCACTGAAGCTTCGATGTTAACTCACTGGAAGCAAAGCTGCGGGAGTACACGGCAGCTGTGGTGCTCTGTTCCAGAGGAGGGGTCAGCACTACTGTGAAGTGGCTGATTTGGGCCAGAAATGGGGTTTGGGAAAATAGGAAGTGAGTTTTCTTGCAAGGGTTGGGAGCCCCAGGAAGGAAAATCGCCATTTCTTCTTGCGGAGGTGTCTACTTCTCCTCCTTTGGTATCTCTAACTTCTGAGCTTGTATGGGCTGAGGAGGTGTAGCTGCCTCCTCCTGGATTTGATTGGGAGGGACAGGGAAAGGGAATGAGATTCTCAGAGAAAGAGTGATGACAGATTGGGTTTTGAAAACAAAAATGAGACGCGATGTAGATTAGGTCAAAATGCACAGGTGACGTGGTCCTAAAGTACGGAGCTGTAAATGGAGCCATTACAGGGTTCTAATTGCACATAACTTGAAACGTAGTGGGCTAAACACCTGGAAGTTGATGTTAGTGATGTGGCAGGAGAACTCTGAATGCAGGGAGAAGGGTGCCCCTTTGAGAGGTAACTTGTCACCACCCGTACCAACTACAATCTCAGCTGGGTGCTTGTGGTGGCACCGGCTGGCGATGCAACGCAGCATGGAACAAACCCCAGGTCCACAGTACTGTCACCAATCAAGGGAAAGACGTTGAAGGAAGACTAGAAAAGGATTTTTACACTCACTTCATCCTTAAATTCCCGTGCTGGTGTTTAATCAAATGAGTAAAAAAAAAATGGTGGTTGCCATGTGGAAGACGGCACAGTGTCACTTGTGCCTGCGCCTCTCTTCTGGTCATGTCCAGAGCAGGAAGCTGTGACCAGAGGCCAGTTGGGCAGGTCTTCTGGTGTGCAGGTGTGCCAAAACATGGAATTGACTGGCTTTCAAACAAGTGCAAGCACTGGAAAAGACTTCTCAGTTTGATGGTTTGGGCTGTAGTCAGTGAGGATACCACAAAATCTTAAAACAGTATTAATTCTGCAAGTTGGCAGAGGTATACTGATCAGAAGTGGGGTTTAGTTAATGTATCCAGCATTACCAAAAGAGTGTTACCAGTGAGTTTAGAATAAAGAGGGTACCATTACAAAGCCAGCATTTCTAAGGAAGAAAAAACCAAAACTCTAGTGCCTTTTTCTTTTGAGCTTGTGATGTTATGTCCCTTCAAAAAAGGTAAGGGCTATGTCCTCTGGGATGTACTGCTTCGATTGGCTTACCTGTAGGTGGCTTGTTGTGGAGCACTTGAGGCAAAACTGTCTCTCCTTGGCAGTGGTGGAACTAACTGCAACGTGCTGAGTAGCTTTAAGACCCACTCCCACCCCCTACGCATGTATGAACAGCACACAAGTTCATGAGGTATAAATCCGTGGTTATTTTCTCTGTCCTAACTTCTGTGGAAAGGAAGCTCAGTCTTTCTTTCTAGTATTCTAGTTATGCAATTTGGTTCTTCCTGTAACTTGTTACCTACCTGCCATAACATCCCCTTTCTCATTGTGTTCTGGAGCCTCAACTCTGCATCTAGCTGGGGGGTTTGAAAAAACAAATGAGGGTTGTTTTTTTTTTTTTTAATTATTATTTTCTCAAATCTGTGATTTTTATGTTTCTACACTCTTTTGGCACATCTAAGTCTAACTAACTGAAGCAATAGTCTAAAGCCCATCTGAACAATAACTTAAAGTAAAATCTAGGCACCAATGAGTCACTTAAATGTTGAAGTGAATTCTGCATTTACATTTTGTAGTTTCTTAATTCCTCAGCCCCTCCAAAATGTTTCTTTGGTGCTAGACGTAACTTATTGAACATCAAAATGAATGTAAAAATAAAGTATTTTTAATGTATGAAATATGGATATCAATATTTATTTTATACTTGCAAGCAAATTCAAGGTGGTAAATGTTTGCTTTAGCAAATACTAGTCCCTTGGAAAGGGCTTCCCTAGAAGCAATGTCTCGTTGTCAGCTATGCTTTTAATTTTAAAGGTGACTTGCACTAGAGGATGCTGCTGTTCCATATTTTCACATGGAACTGATTTAGTCTAAGCATTCCTTTGTTATGAGCTGCTGTTTTTTTGTTTGTTTGTTTGTTTTTTAAATTGAGATGCAGTTATGTTAATCCAGCAATTTACTAGAGCTACGCTGCTTCTCTTCTGTGGTGAAGGGGCTGAGAAAAAAAAAAAAAACATGGCAAAGAGCTCTTTTCAACTTGTATCTTCTGTTGATCTGGAAGTGCTTCCTGTACTGTACAAATAACCTTGCCTTCATGTTGCTAATGAAAAGGTGTTTTATATGCTTAATGCTCTTGACTTTTCTAATTAAAGATATTACTAACAATAGTATCTGTCCTAACAGCATTGATGCAAGCCTATGAAAAAGTGTCACTCCATGAGCTGTTCAGAATGCTGATCTTCTGCTACTGATAGAGGCAGCAATAAGTCTGTTTTAATGCTGTAGGTTTACTTCAATCAGTCCAGTCCCAGTGATGTTTTACAGTCATATTTGCTCACTAGGTAACAAGGGAGCATTAATCTCCGTTCCGCGTGTACTGCCCGGGGCAGAAGGGCTTGTTGCAGAGTATTCTGGAGACAGCCCTCCTGCCCTCTGTCCTGCAGCAGTCCCAGCAAGCATTAAGAAGGGTGTTAGTAGGTTTGCACGAGCCTTTGACCATGAACTGCCTTGTAAATCCCACGGACCCAGCGCTCTGCCATTATTCTCTTGTGCGGCGGCTGCATCAAAGTTCTTTGCAACTGTAATGCATTTCAGTAGCTTCTTGGTTTACTCTCTCTCTTCTTGCAAAATGTTTTCGCATGTGCCCCGGTTGCTCTTAAGTGATGACACATTAAATACTGTGAAGGAAGGTACCTGGTGAGCACCTGCAGCTCATCAGCTGCTTCCTTAAAGGGAATGTTGCACTCATTTGAATAGTGGCCTGGCGTAGCTGTGCCAGACACGCAAATGCCTGTGCTGAAATTATGTAAAACCTAACTGATGTTGTGCACACTCAGCATTTTACTAGGTTTTTGCATTGTATATTGGTAAATAAACTTGTATTAAAGTTTCTTTCCATTATTGATTTAATGGTGACATAGTTTGTGCAATGAGGAAGGGGGCTTAAGTCTTTACAATAACAAATGGAGATGCATTTTAGCTAAATGGTGCTGGGTGGAGAAGCGGTCTTTATGAAACAGCTGAACCAGAGGTACTGGTGGTAGCTTTGTTGGCTGCTCTTGTGCTTGGATTTCAGAACTGCCTCCCTCTGGTCTTGGATTTCTTCAGTGCTTCCTGCTGTTGGATGGCAGAGTGCACAGGTGGTCTGAGCTCTCAGTAAAGACTGAAGCTCTGGAAAGGGCAAGCAGAGGGAAAGGAACCACTGCAATGAGACAGTTAGCAGCTTTAAAGATTTTTTTAGTTTGAGTCTTGTGCTGAACATGTAACAGTAGCTTGTGTTTAGGAATATCCTGAATGCAGTGATGTAGTCCACAAAAGAGTTTGTGTGAGGTACTGGGAATCTTAATCTGCTGGGGTAGAAGCTGCCCCTTAGTTTTTATTGCCCTACTGGGAAAAATATTTAGTTTAGATCAGAGGTGGGGGGAGGGAGCAGAAAGGCCCTGGTCCCTTCATGGCACAGTGCTTGAGCACAGGTTCCAATCAAAGTGTTGGACTTTAGAGGTCTGATTCTCATGAGGCAAACCAGCACTGGAAAAAAAAAGTCTGAAAGAACAAGTAATCACTTGTCACCATGAGCAGGCCTAGTGTTCAGTAAGCTGTTGGCAACTCTCCATCTGAACAAAAAAGGACCAAAAAATCAATACTTGACCTTAAGGTAAGAAGCTCCTTAATCCAGAAACAAGGGTAAAAAATTCAGAAGTACTTACTGTTTAACAGGTGCTAATAACATGCATAAGGTTTGGAGTTTGTGTCCTGTGTGTTAAATGTGTGGGCTTTGAGGATACAAGAGGACAGATGATTTGTCTAGTTGTATAACTTGCCAAGCTCCATCCTCTCCTATCCAGGGGAGCAGACAAATGTAGGACAAAGCATGTGGTTAATCACGTATTGTATTTAAGCCTGATTGTGCAGGATTTGGAGCAGCAGCTGGAGTTAAGACACGGCAAGAGCTGTGCAAGGGGAAACTTCTGTTGCAACTTGAGATCCAAGGTGAGTAAATGCAAGAAATGAATATGAAACTAAGTTCATGGTTTTGTTTGAGCCACTTCCATGCAATTCTTTATGTAATTCCAAAAGACAGCATATACCAAACTCTCAGCTACTCGCTTCTTTGGGTATTCTGGCTTTCAGCGGGGTTGTAACTACAGTTTGCATAACAAACTGACTTGTAAAGCTTGGAAATTACAAGACTATCAAAATTGTTTAAAACAATTTATACAATATTAAATTAAAAATCCAGAGATAGGATAAATTCGATTGGTTCTTCAATGCCATACAAGTATTAGATGGTTTTCTTGAGTCAACGTTAGTACAGAACAAAAAAAGGTTGAACAATTACAAAAGTTGTCTACTCTCCTTTGCCTTTTATTTACAGGTCAGAATTCACAAAGGTTTCAATTTCACTTGTTGCGAGTGATTACTTCTGAATAGACAAAAAAAGGGCATTTATCACATCTGTGTGTAAAAGCTGATGGACTCTTGCAGAAAACAGGTTATTTGTACTACTTCACCCACTTCTGCAATGTTAGATTCTACAAAAGAAAGTGTTTGAACCATTATTTGGATCCTTAATCTACACATAGTGATAAATGTGAGATGGGAAGTCTTGTGAGCATTTTCGTTCCTTTCAATTTAGTGCACCTTCAGTAGCAGTAATTGTAATAAATGTTATCTAATCTAAAGCATTAGAGGGCTTAATGGCTCTTGTATTTCCCACTTAAGAAGGGAGCTTACGGAACAGTGATGTTGACGGCCACTAAGCAGGGGAATTTCAGCCGTTGCTTCATTTTCACTAGGGGACCTCAACCAATTCATTTAAACCTCTCGGGGGGCAGAGGAATGAGGAAAGCAAGGTGTAAGAGGAAAAACCATCCAGCTGTTTAATAGTTGTATGGCATTTTAAATTCTGAGATGAAGCAGTTAAGCGTCTTTCACCACCCCCACCAAGGCAGGCCGCAGCGTGCGCCCGTGCAGCTTGTAGCCAATCTTGGATACTAATGCGATAGTGCCGGGCTCCTTCCCTTCCATGGGGGCGTGGAACAAGGCCTCGTGTTCGTAGGGATCGAACTTGGCTCCGACGGGATTCAGTCTGAGCAGGCCGTGCTTTTTAAACACTTTTTGAATCTGTACTTCTGTCATAACGAGACCTTCGTATAAGCTCTTCAGGTGAGGATTTTCATCTTTGATTTCTTCTTTTGGAACACTTTCTGTTGCTTTCTCCAGAATGTCTGCGACTTCTAGTAAGTCCTTACAGAAGCTCTGAATCCCTGAAAAATAAGAAAAGGGCCTAGGATTAGTCACCGAGGGAAACAAGCATTAAAAAAATCCCAACTAAACACAACCCCAAAACCTCAGCAATAACCTGTACTCTTTTAAACAAGTTACATGATATTGTAAACATTTGGGGTAAAATGTCCTTCACAATTTTACTTGATGGTACAGAGCTATTACAGATACCTTAAAATCCACACCACCTCCTCTAGTTCTATGGGAAAAAAAAAAGTATTTCAACTTAAAAGAGCTAAAGCTATGCTGATGACCTGACATTAAGAGTTAGTTAAAATTCTAACTGCAGTTACCAAAAGTTTCAGATGGCTTAATGTAGTTTCCTCACGTCCCTCTCTTTCCGGGGTTCACCTACAGCTCAAAGCATTATGTTGCCCTATTCCTACCCTTTAATCTGATGTGCCAAGAATATTGCAAAGCATGTAGCCAGGCTGATGAAGAGTCTGAGAGATGAACGGGGATTCTTCCTTGAATTAAAAGAACTTAGACCTCTACCTCCACCACGAACCACTTTTTCAGAGTCAGAAGCTGTGCCCTGTAAAGGCCGAGCAATTCCTACACTAACGAACCGCGTCCTGAACCTGTTCTCTGGCTCATGCTAAAAGAATCTGGACTAATCTCACTGAAGGCAAACTGTCTCTAGAAATTGTGAAAAAAATCAAAACAATTCAGCAGAATAACACATTTCTACACAGAGGTAAGCCAGTGGGTTTGGGGGTTTCTTTGCATGTTATCTCTGCAGGTATTTGTGACTGCATCTCTGTGAATTTATGCAAGTCTCAGAAATGAGTTTCTCTGCCTTCAACGGCAGAAGCAGTCATATACAATTAATACAACTTGCAATCATGCAGATTATCTGTAATTTAGTTTTCACAAGAAATTTTGTTTAAATGTTTATTTCTGTTGTACCATCTCTGAGCTCAGACATGACTCCAAAGCTCTTCCGCACTAAGTAGTGTATTAGTGAAACAGTGCTTATTGAAAATCAACTTCAGAATGATTCTAATGTCCATGAAAACAGTACAAGAATACTATGTAACTGAGAAATGCTTTCTTACAGTACACATTAACTGAAGACCCTGTATTCAGAAATTAAGACTTCTGTATTCAGAAGAACCAAAAAAGAACCAAACCCAAAATAAACACCAAGAGCAGAAAAACCCCAAACCAGAAGGAAAGCTACTATTCCATGCTCTTGATTCAGGTTTTTGTAGTCAGTTTGAGACCAAAGTGCATGAAAAAGACAAACTTTAGGCTGCAAACCTTAGTGAAAAATCTGCTAGTGCAGTACATATTATAGGAAATCAGACACCAAATTAAAAAAAAAATAAAATCAGGATGTTTAGTTTAGTAGTTTAGGTCTTGCCCTTGTCTAGCGAGATGATTACGATTCTGATGCGCAGTGAGGAACTGTTCAAACCTCCCTGCCTCAAATACGTTTTTTAACCAAGGAATGAGAATCACTTGTCAAAACTGTGGGCTAGTCAGCTCAATTTTCCAGGCTTTGCATTTCCTGGGTCTTATGAGTATACACAAAAGGAGCCCCCAACTGACCATATAACTTTGCCTCTTCTACCAGTTTCTGGCTTCTTTGCCTCACGTTTTCTGCATCTGCCAAGGCACGCTTGTACTTGTCCTAAAGAAGAAAAACAAGTAACAGAAGAGATTTCATTCCTGGTGATGGGATGGTTGACATTAGTTCAAAACAGCAATATTCTGTATAAAACAGCATTTTAAACAGTTATGTGTAGCCTAAACCCACCATCTAATGAGTAATCTGAAAACAACGTGACAATTATCACAGCATCCTTCCCATGAAGACAGATGTTTCCTTCACTTTAGCACAGACAGAAGTGGGGGAAAGGAACTAAGAGGGGTTTCCAGATTCTCAGTATTTGTCAAAAGATCAGCTGGAAGAAATTTTTAACTCTACGAATATATCAAGTTTTAGCAATCAAAGATTTCTACTTTTTCTGATGTGTGTTCACAGAAAGCCTTCATCAGTCATAATGTATTTTGACACTTTGGCAAATGAGATTCAACCCAACCGTGACTTTCAAACCACCTCTTCCCTCTCCATACACACCACAGAGTGTCCTCCAGTTACTTCAAGCTTTACACACTATGAAGTCAAACACCTCTGTTGTTCAGGTTAAGTTTTGGTTGGTTCCTAGCAATATGGCCATCTAGCAGCAGTACTAAGAATGAAATTCTATAAACTTAGGCACTTCAGGTTGAGTGCTTCACCACCCAACCCACGACACCATGCTGGGCTGCCACTCTGAATATCCTTGACCCTCACACGTTAGTGAAGAGTCTCAAAACAGAATAAAAATAGTCAATGAGTTGACTGAAAGCCATGTTAGGTAGCCAATTACAAACTGTCAACAGAGATGCTAAATGACATCTCAGCTTTGTCCTTCACTGCTTTGGGAAGGGCAAGAGAAAGGAAACTCAATCCACTTATGATCCATAGGTGCTGCTTCTACAGAAGGTTCTGGGCTACGTCTCTAAGTCTCAAATGCTCTAGAATGGCCATCTTCTATAAAGCACTCATCCAGAAAAGCAACACCTTAGTCCACACCTCCCACCTCCTGGGGCATCCTTCACCCTCTGCTGAAATCACACATGGGAGAGAATGCAAGATACATTAAGCCAATCAGAGGGAATGATACGCTTCAGCCTTGTGTTTGAAGGGCTCTCCAACAGAGAAGGTTTGAAACCTCCACTTCTTAAATACTTAATAAGTACCCTATTATAGAAAAGCTAAGCATCATTAACCCTGACCTTTGAAAAGTCAGCAACTGTTTTCAGAAAGCCTACTCTTAGCACACACAAATACACACACATCAAAGACACACTCGAACCCCTCCACAGTCTTTAAAAAATTATTTCTCCACTGAGCAAAACCTAAGTGAACTGAAGCCAGTGAAACTCAGTAACAATTTTTTCAGGCTGGAGAAGGTCCAATTCCATCCAGAAATTGGAAATAAACTATGCAAAATCCTAATTTTGATCTCAGGTCTTGTAGTACATCTACTCTTAAGTTTAAAGAAATTATTGAATTGCAGGGTTTTATTCAACAACTAAACAGCAGTCACAGAACTGTATCCAGATTGTGCACTGAGAACCTATAATAAACACTCTGAGGTATGTGGTTTGTGATGTATGCAACCTGATGACCAAAAGACACTTACGGTAACCTCTTTGAGTTGTTCTTCCAGTTTGGCCTTTTCTTCAGTTAACATTTTTTCAGCAGAGCTGGCTTCAACCTTCTGCTCATTTTGGCTCTGACTCTGGTCCTCTTCCACGTTCTGGCCAGTATTCTTCTGTTGTGTTGCTACGCAAAGCAGTCGTGGTGAAGTCCTAAGGCAGAAACATGTGGTCAATATTAATAAATTGCTTACTTTGTAAGATATTAGCATTTTCTGGACATACCACACACACTTTGACATGTTTGCAGAACCTTTCATCAGATGTAACTGAAGCTAGACTGTCTAAATCGTTGCAAAAAAATAACTTCACTGCAAGATAACAACCACTGCACAGGGGCTTGTAAGCGTCCATTATATTTATTTTATAAAGCTGCAGCACTTTAAAGGGCAATACGAACTCATTTTCGGCAGGGTACTCTATCAGGAAGCAGATCTAGTTTACGTGATGCAATCACCTGCAACAGTGTCCCAGAAGACACAGGAACAAGAACAGTGGAGAGCAACAGCAAAGTGCCTCCCGTGTGACGGCAGTGCCTCATTGCTATATCACAAATATCACACCGAGAACGGGCCAGTCTCCAGGAAAATGACTATTTAACCCACCCCCCTCGTTAGGCTGAGCCACCTGGGCAAACCCCTTCACGGATGAGGCGGGTGGGTCAGTGCTGCAACGACAACAGGCCTCAGATCCCTGCACCCAACATCCAGAGCTCAGGCCTGGCGGCCTTCAGGCTGAAGAGCGGGCCACGCCGGGCCGGCCCACTCTGCCGGGGAAGGGTAAGGGAAGCCAGCAAAGGGCGGCGAGGGGAGCACGGGGCCGGCACCACCCGCCTGTCCCGGCTACAGGAAGGGGCTCCCCGGCACGGAGCCGGAGGGCCGGGGCTGGGGGAGGTGATGTACCCCAGCGCGGCGGAGCTGGGCCCCGCTCTCCTCCCGGCCCGGCCCGGCCCGGCGATTGCCGAGGGGGTGAGTGCGGACGTGGAGCCGGCTGCGGACCCGTCCCGCCGTGCCCGATGCAGACCAGGCGGCGCGGCGCGACCCTCACCTCAGGGAGAAGCTCAGCAGCGGGTACCGCGGTCGCAGCGCGGCCCGCACGCACTGGGCCACCGCCGCCATAGCGCCTTCCTGCCCACCGACCGCCTCAGCCCGCCCCTCCGGGCCTCCGCCAGGCCGCCGCCAATCAGCGAGCGGGTAGACTAAGAGTGACGCGCCCGGCGACCAATCCGTAACGCGGACGCACGCCCCAGGCCAAACAGGCGAGGGAGGGGGTGGAGCCTGGGGCTCTTCCGGGGCGCTGCGTAAAGCTCATGTGAGGAGCGCTCTCCTCGCCCCGCCTCGTGACGCAAGGTGACGTAAGAGCGGGCGTGGTCGCGGGCGAGACGAGGGGGCGGGGCTCGCGCCTCGGGCCTCGTGCCTCGCGCCTTCGGGCGCCATTTTGTTTTGTGAGGGAGGGAAGCGGGAAGGGCTGTGGCTGCCTTCAGCGTGGGCCCCGGCGGGCTAATGCCGCCCTTTCGCGGGGTGGTAAAAGCCTAATGTGGGGAACGAGAGCCTGCGGGAGTGGGCAGGGCACTAGCTAAGGTCAGCCATTGGTATTTCCCTGTCAAAACTGGATGAGTGCAAGCCGGAGGTGGTTTGGTGGGTGCAGGTGGTCCAGTCTAAGGATCCGCATCTTTCCTGTGGAAGTTGTTACTGAAAAAAGTTTGAAATTGAAGGTTGCCATTCATTTTTTTTGACTACCGAAACTGTTACAAGTAATATCTTGTAGCATCTGTTGATACTTCATCTGCAAACCTCTGCACAAGAGTTTTTCATCATGTGAGTCTTATAGACACTGTAGCTGCTGAATGCACTCTCTCTGGATAATCATGATCCAAAATCTTGATCTTCCATTGAAAGGGATAATGTTGCTAATCTTCCGCTTCCAAATGCGGCCACTTGCTTGTGCAACCTGTTAGTGCAAGTGTCTTGTGTAACTGGAGGCTACGGAAACTGTGCTCGCTGATGCTTGGATGACTTTTTAACTCTGTCAGTATTGTCAATTAGTTTGTCATTATCCTGTTAAAAACAAAAAGAAAATCAAGGTCACATATTTATCGTACAGTCCCAAGGCGAGTGCTAGATTATTCACCGATGCCTGAACACCAGCTGTTAACCTGATTTTTGCATGCATTTGTGTACTTTCCAAACAAAATCTGAAGAAGATGCAGATTCCATAATACAGATCCAGTAAATGTTATATTCAAGTGTGTGATTAAAGCATTACTGAAAAAGAAGCTGCAGAAGACATTTCAGGCTTGCCACATGAGAATCCTGCAGAGGTTAGGACTGTTAGATCCCAAAGAGTCTCACTGTCTCTTACAATTACATGGATGTGAATTTCTCCTCCTGTGGGGACATTTGGAAGAGCTAGAAGCGTACCATTAAACACTCTTGGGTGACAACAGGCAAGAGGTCTAAGAGAAAAACCAAATGGTTTTGCAGTCTGTGGATTTTATATTTCAGTTATTGCTGTTTTTTGAGGTGACACTGATAACAGGGTTGCCTATACAGAACACAGCAAAGAAAAAGGGTGTGTGCTGTCCATACATGGAGTGGCTGTAGTGCTGTTAGCATCTGCTTTCTGGAAGGTAGATTCCAAGTTTCATCCTGAGAAATATTGAAAGAAGTAGTTGAGGAAATCTGTTAAAAATGCTGATAATGCTGAGGAAGGATCAGAGAGAACGAAGACAAAAATAGGAATAGCCATAAAGGACCTATTTACTCCAAATGACAGTTCATAGGCCTCTTGCAAGTAAATTTTCAAGATACTCCCCAGTGAAAATGAATTTTGTTGTCATTTTCTGAATGTGAACAGCTGTCAAGAAAAACTCAAAGCTATCCCAGATACAAAAGAAGAGCATCCAAGTTTACGTGGAGCTTGTCTGCATCATGACTGATGTTGGCTGTAAGTCCCACTTTGATTAACAAAAAAAAGTTTTTCATGCTTTGTTCTGATTTAGGCCATTGCAGTCTGTTCTGTTTGAATTGTAGGGCCACCTAATGGGGTGGTTTTTTATTTAAACTAAACTAATAAGTATTCAGTACTTGTTGCTTGACCTGATTGGCAGTCACAGATGTTCAGTAACAAGCATAGTTTGATTCTTGAGCGGTTCTCTATATACCATGCGGTCTTTTGCACTTCACATAAATACGGGGTTTGAATATGATTTGATGAAAAGTAATACTTATCCTGAATTCTAAAACGTTAACCAGCTGCTGCTTTCAATTTGATGTGGTTGAAAGTGACTCTAGCCTTTAATTTCTGTGGACTGGTGATAGAATCAGGTAGTCTGGGAATAATTCCCAGTTTCTCTAGTGATTCACTTTGTGGTCTTGTGCAGTTATTTAACCTCATTTCCACATTTCTACAACAAATTACGGGTACTAATCTCTCAGTACCTTACAAGAAAGTTGTTTAGAGAGCATGAGGGGATTTCTGTGATATTTTAGATATTCAAAATGTCAACTGAATGATAAGTCTCTTTTTTAATATTAACATTGCACTTGTAGCAAAGAGATTTGTAATCCTTCGAGATGAAAAATGCCATAAATGCAAGATTTGTGCTTGAAAAGTTAAATGAAAAATCAAGGCATTGCTGTTTCTCTAAAAAAAACCCCAAGCTAGTTCTGTCTCCTAATGTTAAGATAGTCTATTGATATTCAACCAGCAAACAGAATGTCATTACATTTGTGTTTCAAATATGAACTGTATTATAAATGTTTTGAGGGTGAAAGCAAAAGGGTATCGTACCTTCCCGATCATATGTCATCCTAATCAGAACCAAATATTGAGCTGCGGTGGGAGCAAGTGGAAAAAAATGCTAAAAAGTACCTTTGTAAATACTCTAGTAGTGACGTTTCAGGCCAATTACCAGGAAACACCTAAATCGAATTAAAAAATGTTAATTACCTGTAAGACTGTTAGTGATCTATATAGCAGTGAAGACAAACTTGTTATTCATACCTGTGCCCTTTAGAAAAGGTTGCAGATAAGACCACTTAGCTGCAGTATTCCATTGTGGGAGGATGTCTAGTGTAAAATTAAGGGACTGATCCTTGTGTATAAAATAATAAAAGATTTTCCTCTGTAAGGATTATGGGGGCTGAGGATCAGCTACACCCTGGATCCATTTCGGACATAGGACAATGAAGATTAAATTATTACTTGAACCCAGAAAATTTAAATCCTGAAATGCAGGTTAGGATGTGTGTGGGAGATAACCTTGCTTTCTTTTAATTAGAGCAGTACTAAGATAGTTAATCCACATGTTCAGGATTTAAAATTTTTAATGCAAACATTTTAAGAGCTCTCTCCCAAGAGTGAATGTGTAATACCTACTTTCCGCCTATTTTCTCCTTAGGCTGAAAATACAGAATCATACATCTTGCTCTGATTATAGAGAGTACTCTTTGAGTTCCCATAGCTTTTTGCTAACTAGTTAGAAAGGTACATTTTGTAACTATCTTGTTGCCTGGAGAATGTTGTCGCTGTGTTGGAAATATAATAGCTATAGCCACAGGGCTCTGAAGAGAGCTAATTAGAGCAATTTAGAATAACAAAAGTTCTGTTCCTGGGAGGACACTGAAAAGATCCTTCCCCAAAGCAGCATGCCACAATTTCAGAGACAATTTATTGTAATATTCCTGCATAAGTCATCTGGTGTCCCAAGGATTTACAAATCTGGCTGTCTATTATGGTTTGTTCTCTTAGCTCTCGTGTTATCAGGGGCTCTCAAGTACGTCTTGTTACATTCCTGGAGATATGAAAATGGAAAAACTCTGTCAATCAGGCATTGTCTGTCTTACTTTAGTCTGGTTACCAGTCAGAACCAAGCTGTTCAAATGCACAGAAGCAGTCTTCTGTCATGCTGATGTGGCTTTCCACCTTGAGGCAAATGTATTGAGCTTTGAGAGAAGAGTTTTCAAATCAATTGTGATTCTCTTAGTGTGGTGTCATGGATTTGCTTAGTATTTTTCTTAAAAATAAATTGTTGCCTTTCAATTTACCAGAACAAGTTGATAGAAGAGGAAGTCTGCTCTTGTTTGTCACATTCAGATTTGCCAAGAAGACAGTAGTTGTTGGTATCCATTTTTGTACAAAGCTAGCAATGGAAGTGCTGATATTGGAATGGTGTTTTGACATTCAGATCTACATTTTTCTCTCTTTCTTAATTTTTCATTAAGATTTGATGAATTAGTTGCTGTGGGCCCATTTCTTCTGCCCTTGTGTACAAGTGATTTGTATTAGTCAAAGTGAATGTTGTACGGTGAAGGGCTGCCAAGCCAGGTGCCAGGCAAATTAGGCTGCCAGTACCGCTGTAAAAGCCCGAGGCCTGGCTATTTATTGCTCAAGTGTGACTTGTACAAATGTTTCTCCCTTGCTTTTTACATATTTTTTTTCTGATGACTGACAGGATGTTGAAGTGCATGGTTGGCTGGGCCAGTGCACGGAGCCCTGTTTAGGCATGATGTTTTAGTGCGCTGATTCACAGTTCAGTCTCACAGGCAGGCTGTTCTTTGTGCACGCAGCTGGGGAACAAAGGAGGAATGCTCATTCTGCTGACGTTGTGCAAGGGGATTGAAAAACTATGAATACAAGAACCATAAAGCAAAATTAAAAATTATTATCTTCTGCTTTTATTCAACTGCTATAGAAAGCAGCAAGAGCTTTAATTGTGTTTCTGTGCGTAATTAATGAGTGGGTGCACGCTCCTGTGGGACCATTGCTGTGCTTCATTCAATCCTAATCTCACTAGGTGGGTCTAGTCAGAATGGGGACAAAGAGTTCAGCTAGAAATAGCTGGAGTGGGAGGGAATACAAAGCTTCCAAAAATCTGCCACAGAAGTAAGATCTACCTAACGACTTTTCGGTACTTTATGTAGAGGTCACAATCTCTGAACCTGGACTTAAAACTGTCCCTAAAATGAGTACTTCACACTTTGTTCCGTTTCCACAAGCATCTGTGAAGTCACTTCTTCAACCCAATTATAGGAGCTCATATCATTATTGAAGTTAGGCTGGTGAAACTGTTTTGTCAGATTTTCCTCAAAATCAGTTGGTTTCTGTTGCTGATATATGTGGTATAATTCCAGGTTTGGGAGTTTATTTTTTATTTGAATGTAAAACCTGT